GTCCTGGTCTTGTTTGCTGATTGTTTTATGAAATTTATATTTGCCGCTGGTTGTATTATTGTAATACAACCGTTAAGGCTCGTTAAGGCTTTTAATAATTTGTTCATAAACTCCTAAAGCAATTCCTTACATTGGTGAGAAGTGCAATTAATTTTACACAGCAAACTAGGAAAAATCGAAAGTACTTTACTAGATATCCTTGATTTTCGATACCATGATTCTCTGAGCGGTTAAGGCTTTGAGGATAAATTTAGATTATTTTCTAACATAAACTCTTAGAAGCCCTTAACCATTTGTTATTCTTTGATACGTTCATTCAACTAATCAATTTTATTTATTTAAAGAAAAAAACTTGCACGTACGGAATCATCTATGATTCATTTTCATAACTCATCTTATAATTAAATTCATCCATTAAACCAAAAAAAAAAATCTAGCCCTTAACTCTTTGTTGTTCGTTGATACGTTCGTTGGAGAGCACAAGGGGCTTTTTTCTGCTTCTCTCTCACACATTGTTAAAGCGTGGAACAATTCTTCAGGCTTTTTCACTGTAAATCTTCAAAAGTTCGATTAGTTCGATTGTCCTTTAATACGTTCTTGTGTTATTTATTGGCTGTAATCCTTCTTTAGTCAATAATTGTCAAAAAGAACGGATATTAAATAGCAACAGATCGTTAATCTTTGTTTTTTTCCTAAAAAGGAGGAAAAAACTTCCGATTTATTGCTGACACTACATGAGATAGTCCAGAGAAATCGTAGTCTGGCATTGTCTTCTATATAAAAAATGAGAGCCTTCCCGATCGTTGACATATTATCACTTTCGATAAATCTTAAGTTCTTTTCTAACATAGACTTTCGTTGCCCTTTAATAGGTTCTCGTGTTATTTATTGGCGGTAATCCGTGTTTAGTCAATAATTGTCAAGAAGAACGAATACTAAATATTATAGCAACAGCTCGTTAGTTTTTCCTTTGTTTCTTCAGAAATGGAAGGACATTCCATTTGTTGCTAACACAGTATCAAAGAAGAATTTACGAAAATATTTAAAAGCCGCTTATTTGCCTCCCGTGCATTGTTGTTTTTTTTTCATGCCTCTGGGACTTCCTATTAAGCGGTAAATAAATGTAACTTTATAACTCCTAAAGTTTTCTTGTTGTTTGCTTATTATGCTAACTAAAGAAAGCTTTCATATTTAAAGTTTACAATATAAAGTATATATATATATATATAATGTAAATACATATATATATAATTAATCTCTGAGCACTTAAGGCTTTGGGGATAAATTTAGATTATTTTCTAACATAAACCCTTACAAGCCCTTAACTCTTTGTTATTCTTTGATAGGTTCATTGGACATTTGCTGCTTCTCTCTCACACATTGTTAAAGAGTGGAACAATTCTTCAGGCTTTTTCACTGCATATCTTCAAAAGTTCGATTAGTTCGATTGTCCTTTAATACGTTCTTGTGTTATTTATTGGCTGTAATCCTTTAGTCAATAATTGTCAAAAAGAACGGACATTAAATAGCAACAGATCGTTAATCTTTGTTTTTTTCCTAAAAATAAGGAAAAAACTTCCGATTTATTGCTGACACTATATGAAGATATTCCAGAGAAATCATAGTCTGGTATTGTCTTCCATATAAAAAATGAGCGCCTTCCCAATCGTAAACATATTATCACTTTCGATAACCGTTAAGCTCTTTTCTAATATAGACTTTCGTTGCCCTTTAATACGTTCTCGTGTTATTTATTGGCTGTAATCCGTGTTTAGTCAATAATTGTCAAGAAGAACGAATACTAAGTATTATAGCAACAGCTCGTTAGTTTTTCCTTTGTTTCTTCCGAAATGGAAGGACATTCCATTTGTTGCTAACACAGTATCAAAGAAGAATTTACGAAAATATTTAAAAGACGCTTATTTGCCTCCCGTGCATTGCTGTTTTTTTTCATGTCTCTGGGACTTCCTATTAAGCGGTAAATAAATGTAACTTTATAACTCCTAAAGTTTTCTTGTTGTTTGCTTATTATGCTAACTAAAGAAAGCTTTAATATTTAAAGTTTACAATATACAGTATATACATATATATAATGTAAATACATATAATTAAAATTAAGATTGAATTACTTTTTCTTTTAAAATACATTTTTACATAGTAACAATATCGTGTTAATTATATTTTTGAAATTCTTTTGCTTACAGGTTGATACATTTACCTCAGTTTATAAAAAACTGACTGGTCGCGATGTCACTTTCGAATTTCCTGATAACTACTTGACCATGTGAAAATTTGCCTCAACCCAAGATAATCAAGCGGTAACTAAAAAAGGAATTAATTTTTAATGTCATCCATAATCACTGCGTAATTTGGTATGGATTGCGCGTGCTGCTGCTGGTATTGTTGGGTTGGACGAAGGCTGGAGTGCGGGGCGTAAATTTATCTAGCAATTCTGAAATTCAGAAATGCATTATTTTTTAGAGAAGATAAATTCTAAACATAATAAATTTGTTTAATATGTAGAAATAAAGTAAAACAAATGGAAATTGAAAGAAAAGAAAAAAATAGTAAGAGATTTTTGCGAAAAATCTTCTCGTTTATATTTACATGGTGTGTTAATGAAATTCGCCTTCAGATAAAAAGGGCGAGACCAATAGGCCTATAGGAGCCTTTTACTTTGGGGTATCGTTTTCCACGCCGAAGTGATACGTCGAAGAAACAACCATAGAGGAAAGACTGAAAAGACGTTAGTTTTCGGTTTGCAGACGTTCGCTTAGATCCTGACTGGTTGTTTTTAGACGAGCCGGTTAAAGTTAAATTAGCAAACGAAGAGCAGGGCAGATAATACCACAACCCTTTCGCTTGATAACTGCCAACCTCCATATTCGAAAAAGTTGACGCGATGATTTTGTTGATCACGCACCAAACTTTCGTAGAAACATTTTACTATTGAAGGATAAGCGGTAGGAATAATGCCAGCTGGTTCTCGAGCTCCTTGAAAACCATTAGCCTTTAAAAATTGTGATTGTAAGCTATAATTAAATGTCATAATATGTGAAGAAATCTTACGTTAGGATGCGCCATTAATGCGCTTAACATTTATGCGTCAAGATATCCATATATTCTTGGGTTAAATTAAAATAGCCTGTTGCTAGTCTTAAGTCTTCGTTACAAATCGGCCCATTTCTAATATGCGAATATCCACGTCTCAGCTTTTACTCAATTAGATAAAGCTTTCTATTAATTTTTATAGGCATCTTGCATTAAGTCCATGATTCGTTGCTTAGCCTTTTCCGTGAATTGTTCGTTTGTGCTTTCGTACGGTAAAAATTTCCAATTATGGTGCACACCCACTTCAGAACCTTTACGCACAACCAAACTAAATTCTTGCACACGGGAATCAGTTCATACTCTGCACCAAATTCAGACTCGATTTGTCAATCCTTCTCAATTGGAACCAAATTCAGACTCGCTATTTCAATGCAACAAGGAACAAATAATGATGTCTTATTATGTATGCTACTTAATAATTTTCATATTGAGTTTCTGTTATCAATCCTTTCATTTTTACATTGGGTTGGCGTGGTGAACTTTTTCCATTTTTGTGCATTTGCTGCAGCGTTCAAATTTTTTACATTTATGTGCTATAGTTTTGAATAAGGAGCCACAAATCAGCTGACGTGGTTCTATGAGCAGACGGACACGCTTAGATCGATTTACAATTTGTTGCTGGTCAAGAATACATATACATCATGGGGTCTCTGAGGCTTCCTTCCTAACTTCTTAATTTTGGCAAACGTTTGCACCCGTTGTTCGTCCCAATTTCACCAGTTGTTGCTGGCACAGTGTAATTTTGCTGGAAAAAGCCGTAATGCCTTACATCGAAGCCACCTCTTCCAATGCGGCCACCATGGATATTCATCGTTATCGTCGATGTTATTTGTTCGTCTAGTCTGCATCGTAGTTATTTAGGCTTGAGCTATCATGACGTATCCATCAGTGCCGTTCTACTTTGGACATATAAGCCACAAATTTATTGGCTTGGTCCATCTTAATTCAACATCCAAAAAAAAAAGAAAGGAATGTGGATAGAAAAGTAGAGTTCCCGGAATAATAGAGAATTTAGAAACTATGTTCCGGAAACTTTCCCAGGCAACTTATGCTGTCGCGGGAAGGTTGAAGACATTACTTTCAGCTGAAACAGTTGCAGTTCCATTCAGTAATTTGTAACATCGTTTATGCCCTGTCACGGAGAAGAAGGAAAATATGTCTGTCCTTTCATTGTAATTCTATTGGATCTCTTAAGGGCAGAATGGTTATCATTGAAAGTTTGAAATTGGACCCCAACCGTTAGCCTATCATAATATGCAATTTTTTAATCTAAAAGTGGATTCCCATCAGCATTAGACCATTAAATTCGAAAATCTTTCAAGCAACTAACCAGAATGCTTCGCATAAGAATAAAGTCGCCTCATACGATTAACGTTCAATATTCGTTCCGAATCCTCCTTTCTTTTTTTTTTTATATAATATAGAAGAGTGATTTAAAAGAAAAAAATAACAACCTCTTTTTTTCCTTGCGTCATTTTTCTTTCAGTTTATTTTACTATTAATTACGTGGAATAGAAAAACGTCAATAAATATTAAATTGATGAGATTTCCATATCACACAAGTTCAAGATCAATAAAATATTTATAAGAGTGTCTATCGAAGACTTAAATACAAAATAACCTTTGACCCCTTACACATATTTTTTTGTTTAAAGCCTTACAACGCCTTTCGAAAAGTTGTTAACCTAATGCATCAAGGGGAAAACCCAAAAGAGAGCCTAACAACCCGCTCCTCCCCCCCCCTAAAAGGGAAAGTAGTGAATATTTGCGAACATGCTTGTGTGTGTGCTTGCACGAACTATTTGCTTTATGTTTGATATTGATGTCATTTCAAATTGTGATAGT